ATTTCTTTTCCACTCTCTCGGGCTCTGATGAAACTTTATCGAGTTTCTCGCTTGAAAGTTCGAGGTTGCGCACACTCGAAAGGTTATGGGCCGATGAGCAGAAAAGGTTAACGAGGTTACGCTTGATTGATTTGTTTTACGCTGGCAGAGATATAAACGATGGGTAATTAGTCAGGCTAGGATGAGCCTCGAAGGATAGGAAAAGAGCGAAAGATGCGCGCGCGCGTGCAATTTAAGCTAGCTAACTTGTGTGTGTGTGTGTGTGTGTGTGTGTGTGTGTGTGTGTGTGAGTGTGCGCGATGAAGCTGCACGATCGGGGCCGGCTTTTACACTGTTGAAACATCTCAAATGAACCAATAAACGATATCTCCGTATATCTTTCTCTCTCTCATATGCAGAGGGGGCTCAATTTGAAGGAGAGAAAGCTTTATTATTCGCTGTTTTCCGAGGGAATATCTTGTTCGCGCATGTGTGTACACGATTATATTCGTATACTGCACCGGCCAAGTAAATGAAAATTAAGCACTCGCTCGCGCGCGAGAGAGAGAGAATCCCGTGAATAAGTGGCGATAATGGCATAACAGGATCGTGATTGAGAACGCGTCGAGGGCCCAGCAATCATCATCAACATGCCGTGTAATAATGACTTTATTGAGTTGTAATTTAATTGAAAAAACATTTTTCGGGCTCGGGTAATGCACTTATGCGAACAGGAAGAAGAGATTCTTCTTTCGCCCCCCAGCTAGCGACGATTTCATCGATTTTTACCCGAGTTCAAATGCGAGCCTCGATGAATATCGCCTTGCGAAAATTTCAAAAGTATACACACTGTACTCGCGCGCGCTCAAAGACCAACCTCCTTGTTTACCAGAGAGAGAAGAAATTCAATTAACGCCTCAGCTCTTCGAGACTTCTTCTTGGGGCTACGTTATGTAAGGAAATATTTGCCGTGCAATACATGACTTATAAATCATTTCGTTTGTTTGATAAAATTATTCTATTACATTCGTTACTCCCACAACATTTTTTTATCGAATTATATTCCAAAGAAATGGGTGGATCTTATAAATAGAACAAATTTGTTTTTAGTGCATAATAAGACCATATTTCATCAATTTAGAGCCCAAAAGTCAAATATTTCCAGTTTCAGAGCCTGAAATTACTTCAATGCACTTCTTTCTTATCCCTTTTTTCGCTGAGAAAGTAAAAACTTTTACAACGCCGCAGTGAAAAGTTGCGACAGTTTTTTTTTTTTTTTTAATTTTTTTCCAGCGGGGGTGACCAATGAGTAAGATAGAAAAGGAAAACGACAGAGAAAAAGAGTGTAAAAAGAGTGTAACAGTTGTAGTAATACAAACACACAGTCCACAAAGAAACTTCAACGTGGAAATAGTGTTTGCTCATCGAAACAGAGAACAGACACAGTTTTGTATACAGAAAGAAATTTTTCCGCCGTCATTATGAAAAGAGTTGGCAAAAGGATTATTTTTCTTTCGTTTTAATCAGACTTTTTCAGAAGTTTTGTTGGACTTGCGTTATTAAAAAAAAATACACCGGGTGCGCGTTGAGCATCAGCGCGCAGCACTCCACGGGTATAGTTGTACGAGAACGAGAAAAAAAACATGTCTCTGTAAATCAATCGAGTCATTGGTTATCAATTCTGCTATTATACTCAAGAGTAGGCGCATACAGGCGCATCTCTGTGTCTGCTGCGTTAAAGTAACGCTTGGAAATAACCTAGTCATTGATTTTAGCGATAGTTTATTCATCAAACTGCGAAATCATTCAATATTCAGGCCGTCCCACACAAGTCAATCCCTCCACTCGGTATCGTATAAATCTAAGCTTTGAACTTCTTTCACCTACATATATCCGAGATTTTCGCCCTGCAGCTAATTCAATACCCAAGCAATGTATGTAAGCAGTCGGTCGTCCCTCGTGTGTATCGGATAGTGCGATCTCGGCTTTGAAACTGCTAACCCAATGCAAGAGCGGAAACGGCTGAGGTTTTAAAATAAAGTGAAAAAAATTTTTACTGACTACGCCACCGAGAGAATGTAAGCCAAATGTTTCAACAAGTGTGCGTATCAATAACTCATAAGCATAGACTGTTTACGCCTACGCATGACGAATGAAAGGGACGGGCAGTATCATCAGCAGCATCAGCAGCTCAGCGTAAAGTGAATCGCGAAAGGCTCAAGTTTATATATGAACTGTAATAACACCTAAAGCCAACAAGTTTGATGAAAGGCGTCTCGTTTTGTTTTCTTTCTATCTCTCTCGGTCTTCTTCTCCCTCGCGTGCACTGACCATTCGCGTCCTGGCGACACGATGACTGCACAGCGCTGCTCCGCGGTGCATCTATAGTACGTATACAGGCAAGTCGTAATTACTTGGCGACCCGACATACATGCCCACATGGGCATAATATACATACGTACTCTACTCTCTGTGCGTATATGTGCCTGGGCTCGTGTGTTTGTTTCCGGTATGTAATATGTATACGCGCGGACTCTTTCGCGACCTTTGGCGACAGAATAATGCATACGTAAAAGGTCAAGGCTGAGTGTGGAACGATTTCCATCGAAAATTCCTGCGTTCTTATAACTCGAATTCAAAATTCGTTTATTCCGATATTTTTTAATTCTAAGACATCCTGCTAAAAAAGCGTCAAGTTTAATTCAAATTCAAGATAAAAACAGCCATTAAAATTAAACTAATACTAAATTTCATAGTAGTTACCCTGGTAGAAATGCAACATTTTTTGACCAATAGTGTAACGCTTTTTCTCATATAAAATGGCCATTTAATGGCCATTCATGGCAATTGTCCATTAAATGGCCATTTTATATGAGAAAAAGCGTTACACTATTGGTCAAAAAATGTTGCATTTCTACCAGGGTTACTTTTACAGGAAATATTCGTTGAATGCATTAGCACTGATTTATTTTTGTACATTTATTGCCCAAAAAAGTCATAAAAATTAAATCATATATATTATTTTTAAAACAAAAATGAACAAAAAATCTAATTCTGTATTCAAATTTAAATATTTTGATTGAAAATGGTTTGATACTGATTTATTTCTTGGATTGATTATAGAAAAAAATTATGAAAATTTAATCAAAATTAAATCTAGTTCGTACCGCTAGATGGTGAATACTTTAATCTGTAAATCCACAAGTGGGAAACAATAAATTTTGGTATAAACACGGATATAATTGGTATAAACAAGAATATGTACACGAGTCACACGTGATCAAAAGCTTTGAGAACTTAAAATTTTTTTTATGAAATGTATCTGTGTGGCATTATCTGAAATCTGCAAAGTGAAGGGCGAAGACTCTTGAATAAATGTACAAACCGCTAAAATACACGTATAAGCTGTCTCAAGGGTCCTTTTTTTAATTTTATTAATTCGAGAAACTCTTGAGAGTCTACTTAATATACTCTTGCGGGTAAGAGAAAGAGTGAGAGAGAAGGAAAAGTGGCAAAAGATGATGAACATAACTTTGCCTTCACAAAGTTCTCTGCTTGCTGCTGCTACTGCTGCTGCTGCTGCTACTGCGCGCTCTGGTCGAGCTCGCGTCAAACTCACGCCACGCAAAACTTTATTTAATAAGGCTTTAGCCTTTATCTATTCGAGAGAACTCTGATTATATCACACCAGCTCTTGAGAGCTTCTAATTTTTCTCTCTCTAAAAATATTCATTTATCATCGTCGCGTTTAAAGTTTTATTTCAGAAATGAGATCATTTTGACGTAACTGTAAGGTGTAACGATAACAACAATGAGCGAAAAAATAAACAAATGCATTACGTTAGATTAGTTTTGAATTGCATCAGATACTAAGAAAGTACTCGAGAAAATGATTTCTCTATTCCTGACGTAATATCGGTAGACAATGTCGAAAATAGTCGCGGGGGCGCATCAGCAACCATGTGACAAGGTCACGAATAATTTGCATATAGACTACTTACAGGCCGAGCTGTACACACATACACACACGCATACATATATTCACACGCAGTGAGCTGCATCTCTCGAGCTTTAACGAGACGTACGCGCTCTTTTCGTCACATTGCATTCACTCAGCTGTCTCGGTGTGTCTCCTCACGTCTATCTATCTCCCGAGAAAACGTCTTTTTTTCCTACCCTTTCGAGTGTACGTGCTCGAGTTCCATCTCACGTGCAACGGTGAAGTGACCCGACTCCGGTAAGACAGGCATCAACGCCTCGGCCTCGCGAGCGAACGAGCGGCGACAACAAACTTTTGCATCTCGCCAACTTCTTCGTTGTCGTCTTCTTCTTTTTCTTCTTCTTCTGCTGCTGCTGCTTTCGGTCACCCCAATTGAGGTGAGAAGTTTGTTGGGCCAGCAGCAGCATGAGCGGCACGCGTGCGGAGTGAGAAAACCGGGATACGTTGCGGAACTTGAGTATGATGTATTCTCGCCTCAGTTTTTGCGACTCTGTATGTATAAAGCTTGTGACTGTTTTATGCTTAGGAATTTTTAAGTTGCTCGTTAACGAGATGAGAGAGGCTTCGTATACACGTGTGGTTTTTCAGTTTTAATGTCTCCACGTGAGTTAACAGCTATGATTTTATCACTATGAGTTTTTAAGCTCGCCACAACTGGGCAGATTTAGACCGCCAAAACAAATATTAATGCTTGTCAAATTCTGACGATTAGTTTCATGAAGAATCGATTTGTTTCTAAAACAATTGACTATAAACAACACGAAGAAATTACGTAACTAATACTTGCTGTAGCGATAAAATTTTTCATTGATAAGCTATAGCGATTTCTTTTCGTACGATTTGTTCGGAAAATTATGATAGAAGCTTTAAAATGCTTATCATTCGCCGCTTTTCGAAAAAAGCAGTGATTCCCAGACTTACGATTACACCTCGCTGATAAATGCATCGATGAAAACTCAAATAATTGCGTCGTGGTACGAAAAAAATCATCATATCTCTAGGTATAAATGCTACGACAATATCAAAGGTATCGATCAGTCTACTACTGCTACTCGATTTGGTTCAAATACGTCAGTAGCTGCTACTACTGCAACTAAAGCTCGCAAAATGTTTTCGCGTTACTTTTTGTCGTTTCTCTCCGTGCTCGTTTTCGCCGCTGTTATAAGCGCGAGTGCCATTCACGAGCCGCGGTTCTTCGACGACGACGACAACAGCGACGAGCTCGTAGATTCCATCGGCCTGCCAGACGTCAGCTCGGAGCTCGAAGACTTGATCGATGTGCTCGGTGGCGATCGTCACCGCCCACCGCCGCCGCTAATCGGCAAAATCATCGTCGCGATCAAGAACGCGCTCAGGTGGCTGAGACGTCACTGCATCAGGGACGCCGTGCTCGAGTGCAAGCAGCACGTTCCCCACATCAAGCCTTGGCTCAAATGCGTGGTATGTGCTAAAAGCTGACTTTTATTTCGTCGTTTTTTTGAGACTTTACCCTCCTTTGCTACTACATTTTTCCGCGTAAACTCTGATTTTGTAGAAGGAGAGCATCGTCGCCCATAAAGGCAATTGCACACGTCCGCCACACCCAACTTCGACCGTGAGTCCCTCCACTGAGCCAGCCGAGCCAGAGCCAGAGCCCGAGCCCACCGAGCCCGTCAACGGCACCGTTCTTCTGTTCTAAACTCTCGACCAGCTTCGAGAGTAGTCATGCAACTGATTCGACTCTTGACTTTGTGTATCTTATGCTATAAATTAAATTATTCATTCGCAAAGAAATTTCCGCAACGTTTCTTTAATGGTCTCATTATCTCCCATGGTGTTATTATATATCCACTTAAACATTCAAAGAAAAATTTACTTTGGAGGGATTGCGAGTGTAGACGCGAGCGTTTCCCCGAAAAGCACACACACGTACAGACGCCCAGATACACGGACGCTGACACACAGAGGTGCACGCTATGTGGCAGAAGACGTAGACGCTCGTTGCCGCTACCTACGAGGCACGTGGCAAATCGAATTAAAAGTACCTACTATACATGTGCCCGCATACGCCGGCGAATGCCTCACCTGCTTTACTCTGGTGTGGCGCGTGCGTCGCATTTATTCACATTATGTTATATACGTATACATACAGCTCGTTTCTGCGAAGCCCGTCTACAGCGCTTTGCTGCACTATGCGGTGATCTCTACGCTCTCTGCTCGAGCTTGTGTGTATTTACACACTCACACGGACACACATCGCGCAGAGACTCTACTCGCGACTACGTGTGCAAAGTATGCGATAATCGCATTGCGGTCTGCTAGTTGACTAGGCGGATTCTACGAGCGCCAAGATATATAGAGGGAGACGAGAGCTGCCAGGCTCGAAGAGCTGATTACTCCTCTGCCGCTGCTGCTGCAACTTGTTTTCTACGCCTCGATTAATTACTGTTGCTTGCTCCATATGTGCGCGACATTATTTCGCGCGAGATCCGAACGCCGCTGCTGCTCTGCTGTCTGCTCTGCTCCTGCTACTGCGGGTGTAATTTTACTAACGCAATATTAGCTTAGCGTGTTTAGCGTCACATGTCATTTTATGCGATATTTTAAACGACTACCATTGATCAGCGTAGTAAAACTGGACGAACACAATCGCAAAATACACACGCACGTATCGCTGCCGTTTAATCGAACGAGATATAGTTTGCCAAAAAGTTCCCACAATTAACCTTGAATGTAAGGCCATAAGTACGCCCCCTCGCTGCGTGCGTGCAGCTCTAAAATATGTGTGTACAGTGCAGCAAACTGCAGACTGTATACAGCTGGGGCTCTCTGGCAGACTGGGCCAGTGGTGTGTTCGCGCACGGATATAATATAAGTGCATACACGTTGTGCGCATACTTGCTGATTCTTCTTTATACCAATTATAAAGGCGTAATTGTTTCCTCGCAAGAGAGAGAGAGAGAGAGAGATAGCCGAGGGAAAGAGAAAGAAGAGAGATAGAGCGTCAATTATAAAGCACGAGTCCGTTATTCCGAGGTTTTCCTACTCTCTCTATCTCTTTTTCTTTCTCTCATTCTCTCTCTCTCTCTCTCTCTTTTCTGTCTCTGTGCCGCGACGAGAGCTCGTGCGTGTGTGTGTTTGCGAGTGTGTATGTTTCAGTTTTGCAGACGTGATGACCTTTCTATATGCCAGACAGTTAGATTATGATGCACCAAGTTTATGGCGTGTGTGGGTTCAACGTGCACTCAGCACAACTACAGCCCGGTATGGCGCTTTTTTTTGGAGAGAGTCCGAGAGAGTATTCGTTGGGATTTGGCGCGCGTCAGCGTAAATGGCGAGGCGAACACGCGGGGTTCTTTCGGAAAGATCCGCACGTCTGGAGAAAGAGAAGATATATTACGATTGAAAATTATAACACTTCTCACGCAAGAAGGAGAGAGAACGATAGAGAGGGAGAAATAAACTTTATTCGCGATCATCCTCTTGCGCGAGCTCGTCAGACAAAAAAATCATCAATTACATTCGAACGCATCAAACGGTATTTAAATGCCATCCTTACTCGGGGCCTGTCTGTGTGTACATATACTATGTATGCATTTATCACTTCTCGATTCGCTAATCACTCTCGACACATGCGCGCGCGTGCGCACACATACACACGCACGCACTCACTCACGCTCGCTCGCTTCGGCGCTTCGCGTGAAAAGTTTCTTCTGCACGTGTGCGCGCACATCGAGAGAGGAGTTCAAGAGGTTCTCAAGCCGAACACGCACACACACACACACACATCTCGACTGCGTTTTTTCGGCACGTCGACCGACTGCTTTAATACGTATATACCTGTAAAACGTTTGTGGGTTAATGAGTAAACGCACGTACGTATATATAAACATGCGAGCTTTTCGGCCTTTGCGCCTCGCGAGATTTTTTTCTTGCGTCGAGCTCGACGTACTTCAACGTTAGATCGCAAGAATCAGATTGCGTGACGTTGGGTTAAGAGGGTACACGATGCTCGTCTCTCGATCGCGTGATTTATTGACGATAGTTTTCGATTGAGAGTCGAAGAGCTTTTATTGTTATAATATTTCTTCTACGATGAACGTACATTACAAATTACAAATGAATGTAATGAACATATCACACAATAAATAATATTCTCATAGCGTTAGTATCAGTGGAATAATAATATAGTCCACTCCAGTCAATTCTAATGTATGGTTTATTGAAATTAGCTTTAATTTGTATAACCATTTTTCTTTGATACTTGCAGATTTACATACGAAGGTACTCGCCATCTAGCGGTGGAGACTCTCTTTGATTATGATTGAATTTCCATACATTTTTTCACCATTAACGCAGATATTAAATCATTATTGAAACATTTTTAGTTGAAATGTTTTAATTTAAGTATAGAATTAAGATTCTTTTGTTCACTTCTACATTAGCATTAATACATGTGGTTTCATTCTCAATAATCAATAAAATTTAGTATCAGTTAAATAAAGTTTAACGTCTGATTTTACAATAAATCTGCTTTTAATTTAAGAGTTTCTAAACAATTTATATAGCGGCTCTCTCATGCTGACGTCACTGTCCGACGCATCGTATTCGGAGAGTGACTCATGCTGGATAGCTCTGTGCTTGATGACCGGCTCGAGCGAACGTGTCGATTTATCCGAGGCCCCATCATCGAATGTAATCTTCTCACTTGTACCTTCTTTGCTTTTTAGTCGCCGCGTGCGCAACTTGAAAATCCTGCCCGGTGGATGATTTATCTCTTCGATAAGATCCAAACCCTCATCTTCCTGATTATCAGCTAATTCATATAGCTGACGCCGCGAAAAATCGGCTAGATTTTGACCATCGGTGATCACCGGGTTCCGAGATAGAGCATCTGCATTTGCGTTCACGAGACCTCTGCGATACACGATATCAAAATCATATCCGCGCAGCTCGGCCTTTAGACGATTAAAACGCAAGTCGGGTTTTTTCGTTTTGTGGAAATGTACAAGTGCTTGATGGTCTGTAACTACAGTAAATTTTCGTCCCCAAAGATAATAATAAAACTGCTCTTTACCGTATACAACTGCTAGCAATTCTTTATCATATGTGGCGTATCTGAGCTCTGCGCTCTTGAGACAGCGAGACGCGTAGGCACAGACGTAGTCAGATCCAATATCACCTTGACCTAGAATTGCTGAAATGGCAAACTCAGATGCATCTGTCGTTAATATGAATGGTTTCGACATGTCAGGTGCTCGCAGCACTGGGTACTCGCACATACGAGCTTTTAATTCCTCGAATGCTTGAGTATGTTCGTCTCTCCATTCAAACTTAACAGTTTTTTTCAGCAAGTTTTGCAAGGGTCTAGCAATTGAAGCGTAGTTCTTTATGAACTTACGATAATAACCTGTAAGTCCTAAAAATTGTTTCATTTTTTTCGCATCTGTAGGCACTGGGAAATTTTTCATTGCTGAAATTTTCTCGGGGTCCATTGAAATTTCACCGCGACCCACCCGGTGCCCTAGCACCTTTGCCTCTCGTTTCAGCATTTGACATTTTGCTGGTTCAATCGACATATTGGCCGCCTTAAATCGGTCCATCATACGCATAAAACGTACGTTATGCTCCTCGATTGACTCGCCATGCACCATAACATCGTCTAAATAAATTTCGAGTTCGGTGCCTTGCAATCCGGCGAGGGCTAGGCTCATAGCTCGAGAAAATACAGAAGGCCCGGATTTTAATCCCATAGACATTCGTCGAAACTGATATACTCCGTTGGGCCCCATAAAGCCCGTCTTGTGAGCAGAACCTTCATCCATTGCGATTTGATGAAATCCACTCCTCAGATCTACACAGCTAATATAATTCGCTGCGGCGAGCCGCTCGAGTATATCTACTGTTAGTGGTAATGGATAGCAGTAGCCTTCTGTTATCTCGTTCAGCTGGCGAAAGTCAGTCACGAGACGCCATTTTTTATTGCCGTCCGCATCGAATGTCTTCTTAGGAACGACCCATAGTGGGCTGAGCCATGGCGTGTTGGAAGGAGCGATTATATCATTCTTAATCAGCTTGTCAATTTCTTTTTGCATTACTTCTTTTATTTTGGGCGGATATCTGTAATACTTCGGGGTGATCGGCTTTTCTGTGGTCGTCGTGATTGAGCAAGTAATAACATTTGATACAGGCAGAGGCTCGCCTTCTAGCCCGAATACATATGGATTATGTGAGACTAATGATTTGACTGCCTCTAGCTCAAAATCGCTGCACCCTTCCGTATCCATCAGACTGACAATTTTTTCGATTCTCTCCTGCCCATGTAAGATGAAATTCGACGAAGTTTCGATGCTCTTCTTATCTCGCTTGTCATCTGAAAGAAGTGTAAAAATGCATGCATCCTCGAGAGCTTCGCTATCCTCATTAGCAATGCTCTCTTCTTTATTCGAAGTTGTCTCGCACGGTAGCAATTCGACCCAAGGTATAGGTATATTTTTCTCCTCATCGGAGATATTTATACATTCTGCATAGATACAACCGTTTCTATTTTGTGCCACAAAATTTCCAAACAAGACGTTATCTTCTAGATATTGCAGGGGAACCCACCCAGCCGGCTCATCATTGAGCACGTTTGCCTTAATAATTTTCTTCGAGCGAGGGGGGAGAGTTATGGTTCCTTCGTCAGTAAATGGTATAGAATAACCATTAAGGACTAGTTTTTGCTCGGAAGCATGGATAATGCCGTTATATTTTTTAATAGCATCCCATCCAAGGAGTCCATCTGCTCCAATCGG